GTAAATGTTCCGATTGTGGCACTGGTAGATAAGGGTAGTTCATTTAGGTGAACACACTATGCAGCTTCAGCAAGCCGCAACATTTCACAGCAAGAAACGCACACAGCATGTTAATGGGCAGTGTTTATGATAGAATTTGTGCGAGTGGAATTGGCGCAACGCAAATCGCATACACTGTCATGCACACTTCACAAAGTGACATCGCAGCAACAAGATTGCCATGCCATGATATGTGGGTGTGTTTCCCGTTGTAAAGTGGCTCAAACAGGCTGTCTTATCTAAGCTGTCTGACTAATATACGCTTGCAAAATATGTGCACAGATCTGCAGCACCTCAAATCATGTCCTATGACTACAATGCATTTTCAGCCAACTGCAGCAAAATAATTTAATCCACTACTGACGTAACAGAAAGACAATAAGACCAAGTCGGACCCACGCATGACATGGGGATCAAGATTTGCGGCAAAACATAAATGAAGAGCAACGCTGCGCACTCTCCCTACCCTTTGCTCAATCACGTTTTACATGTGGTTCTTTGTAATGGCAAATGTGCAGATGGTGCCTACTCAAGTCCTGCAATCGCCCCATTTGTGAGTGCATCATTTCAGCATTCTTGATTGCTACGTGACAGAAAATAAAACTGAGCTAGAATATGGCTGGTCTTACTCCACGCTTCTGCAGGACTGGTGAATGTGGGAATGGAGAGTGGTATAAACACCAAGATATATGCTAGTAAGCTGAGATAAAGCTGACCCATCATAGTTCACTCTGCATACTGTTTAAGGGCATTCCATTGCTAGAGCACACCTAAATTCGACAAATCGCTTGCCCTGCCTATAATTAGCACAATCAGTTTCATGTTGATGCACCAAATTACTTTGCTTCTGATGAATGTTAGACGGCGATAAGGAAAGCCGCACCATACTATTTGCAATTCCTTATACATTATATATAGTAGCCAGATATTCAGGTTAGTGAGTTACTCACCTATAGGCATGCGCTAGTTTATTCGGCGAAACTATACTTTTGTGTAGGTGTTGGAACTCCTGTATACGAATAATAGGTGCGAAATAATGAAGTGACCATTAGAATCCTAAAAGCTTGCCCTATTTTGCCTCATGAGCGTAAAAACATTTCTGATCTGAAATATCGAAACAAAAGTGACAAGAATGGAGTAAACATGACAAAATCTTGTATTTTGAAGTATGTGTACAATGTAAGAGGTCAATTTGCTGTCAAGTAAGTACGAAGGAATGGCAACTGATGAGTTTCCAGCTAAAAGGAAATCTGCGATGGGGAAAGATTGGTTTGACGAGAGTGAGTTATGGGCAGTGGCAGTTCATATATTTTTGAACGTACGATATCATTTCGGATAGAATTAGGCATGGATATACAAGTAAAACATCATTGTCCAGAAATGTGCACTTACTCACTTCGTTTTGCCAAGAGCACGACTTGTCAGA